GTAAGCGTTAAAAATAGGGTTTTGAAGCTTGTAGAGAGTGGGCGGATATATATCTCAATTTTTTTTGCGTTATTTATATGTTTGAAAATTCCCACATTTCTATGCACCTATTAGACATATTTCACAGACAGATTGCCTTGTACAGGGTGGCCAATACATAACTGACTGATTTAAATTGCGCGCCATTTTTATACACGCATTCACAACCCGTCCGTATTGTTAAATAATGAGTCAATTTTTGCAAAGATTTGGAAGCTACGAGAAGATTTCGGTCGAAATAATGTGCCTAGTATCAACACCATTCGCCACTTGATGCGGAAATTTGAACAAACCGGTAAGTTATGGACTTGCCAAGGTCTGTTCGTACTCCCAAAAATTTCGAGAGAGTTTGTGAAAGTGTAGTGGATCGCCCTGAGACGTCTACCAGACATTGTTCTCAAGAACTGGGTATTCATCGCACATCATTATGCACTATGTTAAAAAAAAGTCTTGCATTTGCGGCCATACAAAATTCAGTTAACCCAAGAACTACAGCCTAGTGACCATGAAAGTCGCGGACAATACAGTCATGCAATATTGCAGCTAAATACCCAAAATAACGATTTTTACCGACAACTGATAATGAGCGATGAACCGATTTGTTAATAAGCAGAATTGTCATATCTGGACATTAGAGAACCCTCGTGTCATCAAGAATAGCAATCCGGAAGCTCTCTCTGATTTGAGACCTATAAGCCTTCTGCCATTATTATCGAAAGTTCTGGAGAAATTAGCTCAGCCACAAATAATCAAGTATGTTGAATTATGCAGAGTATTGCCAGAAAATCAATCGGGCATTCGCAAATCTTACTCTACTACTACCGCTCTGCTTAATATAACAGATAATATAATACAATAAATTCAATTCAATTCAATTCAATGGACTTTATTGTAACACATACATAATTATGTATCATTACAAATGGCGAAGTCTGGCCAATGGCCATTTGTACTTAACCATAGATGTCATGTAAATGCTTATTACTACCTTAAAAATAAAATAAAAAACTGAAAAAGAAAAGGAAAAAGAAGAATAATAGTAAAAGAAGAATTAATAAATATGACATAATGCGTACAATTAGAACAAAAAACATTATACGTACGATTCAAAGAGAAGACAATAACCTAAGAGCTCAATAAGTAGTTCTTATATTTTTTTAGAAAAGTTGCTGATGAAACATTGTTCGAAAGAGTTGATCAATTTCATCGCATTATACGTAAAAGACCGTTGAAAAATGGCTGTCCTATGTTGTGGCATTGTCAGGAAATTAATGTATTCAAATTGTGAATTAAATTCCTACGAACAAGCTTTTGCATAAGATAAACCGGAACAGAAGTTTTTAATATTTTTACGACAAATGTAACAAAGCTGTATTTGAAAAGATCAGAAATTTTCAACCAATTCATTGAAGATATTGAGTGAGAAACATGATCGTACCTTCTTAAATTGTTTATGTAACGACTACATGAGTTTTGAAATTTTTTGCAGTCTGTATTTTGTGATTTCATCCAGACAGGGATAATAAACTATGTTGCAGTAAGCGATTTTACTGAGTATGAGTGACTCGCATAACATTTTCTTAATTTTTCTATTTAAAACAGTTTTACTTGCATATAGAAGCCTGAGTCTAAAATAACTAGACTTACACACATAGCCAACATGCTCCTGAAATCTGAAATCTTCATCCAAGTACAAACCTAAATTTTTTTGCAGAATGGGAAAATATTAGGACACTATTATTTAGTGATAAATTTAACTTTCATTTGAGGAAAGTACGTTTTTTCTTGGAGCAAAAAAGTATAGCTGTCGATTTCGATGCGTTTAGACGTAAATTATGTTTTGCAGCATATGTGCATAAGTATTGCAGATCTTGATTGATAAGGTTGTTAGCTAAATGGTAGCTGTTCGGACAGAAATTATGAAAAACCTGCATATCATCAGCATATGATTGACTAGAACAATGTTGAAGGGTGTTAGAAATGTCAAAGGTGTATATAAGGAATAAAAGTGGACCTAATATGGATCCCTGAGGCACGCCGGAACAAATCGGCCTTTTGTCTGAAAGTTTATTTTGTATGACGACATGTTGATGTCGTTCATTTAAATAGCGATCTATCCATTCCAGAACCAAGTCGTCACACCCAATGTATTTACATTTAGAAACTAACAGCTTATGATTCAGGGTGTCAAAAGCCTTGCTAAAATCCAATAAGACTAATGCAGATGCTTCTTGCCTATCCGCCGCTGTTAGTACATCGTCACAAACCCGTGCCAAAGCGGTAGTGGTACTGTGACCCTTTCTAAAGCCTGATTGATTTAATGGCAAAATGCTGCGTTCGAGTAAATACTCATTCAACTGCATATAAACTATTTTTTCTAGAATTTTTGATAGAGCTGACAGCAAGCTAATAGGTCGGAGATCACCAGGAACCTGGGGATTGGGAATCTTTGGAAGAGGTTGCACTAATGCTTCCTTCCAAGCACTTGGAAAAACACCGCGCTCTAAACAACAATTTATTAAGTGCAAAATGTATATTATATATAAATATATATCATACGGACTCAAGATAAAAATATTGCCTCCATTTTGGTCTCGATCGATTACTCTAAAGCATTCGACAAACTGAGTCATCAGCTGCTTCTTGCTAAATTGGGGTATTTAGGTTTTGATAATATATCTATATCGTTTTTCACGGAATACTTAGCTAATCGGTTCCAATGTGTTGTCATTAATAATACTGTTTCTAACTCTACCAATAGCATATCTGGTGTTCCACAAGGATCTGTTTTGGGACCCTTGTTATTTCTAATATATATTGCAGACTTGCCTTCTGTAGTAGCTAACTCTACAATACAGTCATTCGCAGGCGATACCCAGTTGCTCTATCATTTTGATCCACATGATCAACAAGCAGCCGTCGAGTTACAAGAGGATATTGATGTTGTTTATAGCTATTCTATAAAGCACAATTTGATGATAAATTCCTCTAAATCCAAAATCATGTTATTCTGCTCTAATACTAAACGTGAGCGCATCCTCCTAACATTTCATCCCAAAATTGGATCAGACAGAGTAGAATTTAGTAATGAGTCTAAAATACTTGGTGTCATTTTAGATATTAAGATTCAAAAGTCATGTTTCTAGCATATTACAAAAATCCTATTGGAAATTACATGTTTTATATGCAAATAGACGTGTTCTGCCTTCTGCTTCGCGAAAAATACTTGCTGAATCCCTTATTCCTCCAATTATCAATTATTGCAATATTCTTTACCAGCCTTGCTTGGATCAGCTCACTAAAAGACGTTTACAATTGATTCAAAACAACTGCCTCAGATACTCGTGTAGTTTAGGAAAATACGACCATGTTAGCCATGCTTACAACAGTATTGGATGGATGAAGCTCGAGTGTTTGACAAATTTTCATTATTTGGTCTTCCTGCATAAGCTGCTCTCATCTGGTAAACCCAAATACCTAAGAGAAAAACTTATTTTTTTCTAATGAAATACATAACATTAAATATTAGAATACCCCATTACGTCACCTCGCTTTTCCAACGCTCATTTTCCTATAATGCTGCTAGTCGCTACAATAATATTCCTGATGATTACAAAACCATGAATCTTGTTTCCGTAAGCATGTTAGGCTATATTTACAGAGCTCTACATTATAATGCGTCTTCTTTGACTAATTTTTGTTAATAATACATTTATAAGTTAGTTTATGGGCACATATGCTTGTAGGCATTTAAATTAGTTGCTTGTTTGATTGAACTGCTTTAAATACTATTATGACATTGTAATAGCCAAACTTTATTTTTTTTTGTCTCTCCTTTACCATCTTTTTTTTTCGTATTCATATGGTTAAGTGTAAGAGTAGCTTTAGCTAAACTTCGCCATAATGAATCGCACTCTGTATCTTTGTAAATAAAGACGATATTATTATTATTATTAATATTATTATTATTATTATTATTATTATTATTATTATTATTATCATTATTATTATTATTATTATTATTATTATCCATCAACGACCACTACATTCTCGTTGAGTCACAGTTTGGCGCTGTGTTTGGTATGGAGGTGTCATCCTTGGAAGAAGCTGCAGGTAATTCTCTTATTGTCAATGACGAGCGCTACCGTGATATGGTGCAAAACTTTCTGGCTCCTCAGATCCAACAATTTAACCTGCAAAACATGTGGTTCCAGCAGGACGGAGCAACTAGTCACAAAGCTAGGGAAACAATGAATCTTTGGCGAACAATATTTCCGGGACGTTTAATTTCTCGATTTGGTGATGTCAACTGGCCACCAAGGTCACTGGATTTAACGGCTGCTGACTTTTTTATGGGGATTTTTGGAAAATAGGGTTTATGCCAACAAAACAAATACTGTAGAACAGCTGAAGAACAATATTACTGAAGTGATTGAAAATATTCCTGCCGAAACTTACCAGAAAGTGATGAAAAATGCAATCAAGAGGGTTCAGAGTTGTGCGGCTTCTACTAAAACTAAAAAAAAATACTGAAATATTTTCAACACTTGTAGCTATGTCTCTTCTCAGAGGCGCCAATTTTTGCCGAACATAATCATTTATGACAGCGTTGCGTGGAAAATGCAGAGTCAGTCTACTTGACACTTTTTCAAATATTGAATACACTGCTCTGTCTTTGCGGTTACTTCCATATAAAAAGCTTGTTTTTAAATACAAAACGTGTAGTTTCCCACTGGAATCACTGGAGATGCTAGAAGTATAAAAAATTATCCACTTTCAAAAAGTTTCCCCAAAACAGTTCTCACATGAACTAGAAGCTCTCAAAGGTCTTCAGCGCGTATAAAAGCCTATTTACAATACTCATGAAGTAACTGTAATAATGAGATAAGTGTCAGTGAATCCTTCAAAAAACTCTTAACTGTAACTACAAATACCAGTGTGTAATAATTTACTTTGCTTACCAACATTAAACATAATTTATAACATTATAGCGTCCCTGGGTAGCTTAGCGTGGAGAAACATTCCAGTCAACGAATGTTTACTTGTCTTTACCACGCTTTACATTGCATACACAGATGTATAACGAGATTATGCAATCACGCGTATGATACCAGACATCTTTAAGCTTATCTGAATATGTATGAAGAAGGCATTCTTCGTCTGCAATTAAACCATCTCATGGTTCAGATGTTACCGCTGTAAACATCAAACCCAGGGGCGTACCATGGGTTCAGAAAAGCTGCTGAAAGCAATAATTTTCCCGCATAGAACCATTTGTTACGTGAACGTTTGGTATCAGGTAGAAATCTACAAAAACATAAGTAAATTTTTGGAGAATATAATCTTACGCCAACTTTAGTTGCTCACTATCTAGCAACTTTTCAACTAGAAACGTGTCGGTTTGTACGAGGTACGACGAAGTTGGGTTTCAGGGTTGTTCTGTTTTTTCTGCAAGTTGCTGAATAGTGTACGCAACGTGTAGGAGACATCTCGTTGGATGGTTTACCAGAAAAATGATTTTGCCATAGCAAAAGCTTATACGATAAGTGTGCATCCCTGATGTCTATTCTACGCATCTGTTTTACGTAGGGAACAAGCTTTCGTCCAGATAACATTATTATCGTTTTGGAAAATTAGTCTCACTTAAAATAAAAAATACGTCAAGTAGGTTCACTCTGCACATCCTTCGCAACGCTGGCGTCAATTCATAATGGATGTTCGGCACAAGTTACCCACTCTACGAACATGTATAACAAAACAATAAATGGATCAAATCAGTCAAGTCAGTATAACAAAACAATAAATGGATCAAATCAGTCAAACGGACCCGTACTATTAGTCCACCAATTTGGCAGCGCTGCTGTCCAGGAATTTTACCCCTGTCCTACCGTACAGTACCAACCGTCTGGCAACATTGCTATGACTAACCTCGCCACCCGCCAGCTACTCGTCGGTCACACCTCGATGCACCCAGTTCCCTTTTAAAATGTTGTTGAGAATGATCAGGAGCCTCCAAAACGTCGAAAAAAGTTTGCGCGATTCTCAATTTTCCTGATGTTTGACTGTAGCTCTGCCGCCACTAGAATCAATTTTCAAACACTACTTTTTCGTCCTTAACATAGTCAAAATTTCATCAAAATCCGAGCGGCACTTTTCAGGTTATAGAGGGGGCAAGGATTAGCGGACAAACAAGGTGTGGCAGTATTTTTCGTGGTGTACATGTCATATAACAGCTAAAAAACATGATATCTCATGTTCGAAATTCGCGGTTACAATACTTCTTCGCCAGTGGCTGGGGAAGTATTATGAGGCCTAGTTGAACATTTCTCGCACCTGACGACCCGTGGGTCCTAGCGTCAAATTGACATCGTTTTTGAAATCTACGCGTGCACTAAGAAATAGGTTTGCGTCCAGATCACAGACATTCACGGACAATCCAGAAATTTATAAGAACTTGTAGGGCAAAATTTCTATTTTCATTTAAGATTGTTACGTAAATAACTTGCGATGCTGAATGTGAATATAACCAAAAAAATCGTGGTACCAAAGGGCCTGGTTGGTAGGTCGACCTGCTTTTTTATTAACTATCCAATGCCCATAGCCCGACAAATGTTTACTTGGATGATTTTTTGGTTATTATGGGTTCTTTTGAAGCTAATTAGATAAAATTATTGTTTTTATGTCTGCACAGTATGAAATAATATATGGTTTCTTATAGCGGAACGTGGCATGAGAAGTGAATAAATGACGTAAGTATGATACAATTTTGTATAAATCATGAACTGTTTTATATAATAAATGTTATTATGAATTCAAAAAATCAAACCATTTGGTTTTAGTGTTTTGCTTGTAAGTTATACTAAAATGTTATACATAATATAAAATAGTTATTCTATATTTATTCCAAATATTAGTTAGGATTTAGTGGTTATTTACAGTAAAAATATCTCTAATACTAAGTCTTGTTTCAATAAAAACAATCACATCCACGTTTAGTGCTCTCCCAGAAGGTCCCCTGGAGAGGACCTGAGGTGTCAAACTTGTGAAATAAGTATAATTACTCGCTAAAACATGTAAACATTTGATGATTTGAACAAAAGTCCATTCAAACAACTAATCATAATATGGACAGAACGGACCCTACCTTTTCATTTCCATGGTAAGCAAAAATAGAAGCCAATCTCAAAAAGACACGAAATGCGATCAAGAGAACAACATCAAACCACGTTAGTCAAGTTTCTACCAGTCTGAGGGGGTTGTATCAATTTTTCCCTCTTCAAATCGAGATTTCCTTCCATCACAGTAATGAGAACGATCTTCATCAACTTAAGGCGGATTTTTTTTTTAGATATTGAAAATTGGTCCCTCTAGGAACCTTGGGAATTGGAAGGTTAATGATCCCAAAACCGTCAAGAAAACACTTGGACCCACCTCTTGACAAAACGTCATGTTCTAACCACAAAAATAAAATCGAGTGAACTTTCAAATTAATTACTAGGCGTTAACCATTAATTTTCACGCACAATGTATTATGTATTAGACTAATAATTTATGGCACATGCATCTATGACGTCATTCATACATCTAACGTCATTAACCCCATAACGTTGCAGATACCGTATCGCGTTTTTCTCGATTGCACCGTCACATGCGAGTCTTCATGTCAAAGGTTAATGCATCGAGAGGGCAGGTCACTCGGTCACTAGTGTGGTTAATTCGAGAATTAGTTACAGTCGTTCATATTCAAATGGCGTCATCTTTTTTAGACGTTGCGCCTTCTGCTATAATGTCAATTAGGCACGCGTTGATGACTAGATGTGAGAATGTGGAGTGGCTGCCACTTGCCTAACTAATGTTTTAGTTATTAGACTTTTGATTATATGTACAAAAAATGGTGTGCATGACATTAGCAATTATCATAGCAGGAAGTCAATTATAGGCATTTGTTCTTCTTTTTTGTGGACAGTTTCCCTGTTAAGTTTAGATAGTATCTATTTATAATAATATTAATGTATGTTAAGGAATCAAGAACGGAAGCATATAAAAATATGGATCACGAATTTGTTGTTAGTTTTTCGCTAAGATTGGCGGAACACCCTGAAAGAAAATGTTCCCACTCTAAATAAAGACTTGCTGCAAACAATGATTTTTTCATCATATTCGGAATCAGAGTTCCAAATTACCCCATTATACCGAGTTTCGTTTGCCTATACAAAAAAGGTTCGGGGTACAAGAATTATTATTCTTCTTAGGAATTCTGAAAGTTAGGGCTAACAATAGTAACAATTACAGAAAAGCTGCAAAAAAATGTTTGTACCTGCAATCATGATCAACTCCCCAGAAAAATCTAAAAGTCTTCTAAAATTAATTTTTCACCAATCGATTAATATTAAAAAAGAAAAAATCTATTTGGCTGCTGGTAAGCCATCGACGGTAGTACATCAATAAGTATAGCCAGGAGAACAATCCTCAATGCTCTGTCCTGGCGTCTTCCATTTTGGCAAGGCGAGGTTTGTTAGATGTTCCTTAATATGAATCAAGAGGGCGATTTTGTTAAATTTTTAAATGAATTGCAAGAATTCTGTTTCGCTCCTGGCAAAATTTTGTTTGTTTTCCGGACCAATCCAATTTAAAAACGTCCTAACCGCCCATGTTTAACCGATGGAACCGAAACTTCATACAATAAAGAAGAATTTTAAACATGTGGTTTGATTGGCTAGATAAACCTGGGAGATTATCGTAAGTGATATCTTAAGGGCATCTAATTTTTCCGAAAAATACGAAAAAACACGTTGCTAAGTAATATTTTAACAAGAAGCATGAGTGCTGGTGACAACAAGATATTTTTGTACTTGCACGAATGTTTTTTATTAAAAAAATATTACTTGCATTGTGTTTTTTTTTTTATTTTTTCACAGGAAAAAATTAGATGCCCAAATGGTATTTGACAAGATTATTTGATGAGATCAGATTATTCTGCATACACATAGCTAACAAAATTTATTGACAATAAAATCAGAAAAATTGTTTAGCGTCATTTACTGGTTTCCTAGGAGACCATAATTACTTGTTATCAAAGGTATTGTGATTTTGGGTAACAACAGCTGTCAAGGTCTGCCACGAGTAATCTCGAAAAAACTGCTGACAGGTGCTGTCATACAATTTTCCCTCTAGAAACCATATGTAATTCAAAATTTCGCGTTTGTGACTAGTAGAACTTAAGACGAGAGAAATAGTCAATATGAAAACCACAGGATAAGTTTCAGATCATACATTAGAAAAAGTACTTGGTATTGTTTTCTAAAAGTTGGCCGTTTTCGAGTTATTAGTGCTATAAGTAATCGCTTAAAATGGCCACCTTCGTTGCTAAAAAGCTATATCAAAAATGATTATTTTTGAGGTTGCCAAGTATCAAAATTAAAATTCTAACTGTATCCTAAATGATCTCAAGAATATTTTAGTCTGATTTTGTATTGTAATTGTAATTTAATTGTTCGTAACGCAGGAATGCAGAAATTTATCTTTGCTAACGTTTCGACCCGCGATGATAGAGATCAAAATAACAATTATTACAATATAGTGTGTATTTATATTCTTGAAAGAAACTGCGACTGATAGACCATAAGTTTTTTACTTCCAGGTTCTTCCTTCTGGTTTGTTGTTGTATCCCAAATGCGCAGATGTTTTACTTCGTCACGTCAAGGCCAAACTGTTGTTTTCTCACAAGACAAACAACATTGTGCCTAAGTGGTATTCCTCGCATTTCGGACACATAAACAATGTAATTTTGGCATCGGTAGTCAAAATATTCAATAATTAACCGGTCTGTTGCGATAACAGCTCTGGGTGGGATTTCGGAAGCCCGTTTGGCGAGGATGACGAGTCTGGCATATTCAAAACTACAGATAACATCATGTTTGCTTGGAAGGCTAGACGTCCTTTGGGAGCGGGTAAGTCTACCACAGGCTGTCCTGGGTTTTACTGATTTTGCACGACTCCATCTTAAAATGGTAATGATGGCCTTGGGCGATCTCGACGTGGTATATGACCGTTCAGACTTCTGTTGCAACACACAGT